ATAAGTAGAGGGTGGTAAGCAATTGGAAATTTCATTTATACAATTTTTACGTCATCACATTAGAGGGGGAAATATGTTTATATAAAAGAGGCTCAAAGTATATCATGACAGTAATAATTTCAAATAAAAATTCTAAGTGACATAGGAATAAAAACAAATTACATAAGAATGATAATGATTCCTTTCTAAAAATGTGAAAAAAATCTTATTAAATAATGAAATAGTAAAGATACTGCCATAATAGAAGAAAAAAGACTGTCACTATTACTAGTATTATTCAACATTATTTCAATATTTAATCTAATAAAATAATTCACTAAAATGAAATAAATGCTGTTCAGCAATTGGTGCTGGAGCAATTGTGTATTCAGTAGGCAATAAAATAAGATAAAATATGAATCTATGATTAACCCTCATGCTATATACAAAAGGTAACACAAAACGGATCAGGGATTCATATGTAAAATATAAAACTTGATCATTTTAGAAAAAATATAGGAGAAAATCTTCAGGACAGAAGAATTAGGTGGAAGTCTTTTTTCTTTTGCCATCAAAAGCATGATTTATAAAAGGAAGATGTGATAAACTGGACCTCATCAATATTTAAAAAATTTTATCTCTCCCTTCCTCTCTGTAAAAAATTAATAAATATATATTTAAAAAAATTTTTTTTCTCTGTAAAAGTCTTTTTTAAGAGGATGAAAAGATGAGGCAGAGATTTTGAGGGCATTTTAAGTTGACATATATGAGATATTTTTTGTATCTTGAATACATAAAGACCTCTCCAGGCTAAGAAGGTAAACACACACACAAATGAAAACAATCCAATTAAGAAATTGGCAAATGACCTAAACAGACATTCCACTGAGAATGATGTACAGATCACAAATAAGCACATTAAATTATGTTCATTAACTACTAGAGAGAGGGAAATTAAAACCACAATGGAATATCAGCACACAAGTACCAGAATAGCTAACTTTAAACACACACCCCAAATATGGCAAGAATGAAGAGAAAGTGGGTTACTTATACATTGCTGGTGAGAATGGAAAATGCTACAACTACTCTAGAAAAGCGTATAACATTTTCTTACAAACCTAACAATGTGCTTATCATGTGGTCCAGCAATTGCATACTTTGGCATTTATCCCAAAGAAAGGAAAATGTATGTTCCCACAAAAATCTATACAAAATGTTCACAGCAGGTTTATTCATAATCACCCCAAACTGCAAATGATAACCCAGAAGTCCTTCAACAGTGCATGGATCAACAGACTGTGCTTAATTAATACCCTGAAATACCACCAGTCAGTAATAAAGGAACGGAGTATCCGTACACTCAACAGCTAGGATGGACCTCAAAGAGGATTATACTGTTTGAGAAATGCCAATTTCAAAAGGTTAAATATTATATGATTTGATTTACATACTGTGCTGAAATTTACAAAATGATGAGATGAAAAATAGATGAGTGGTTACCGAGGGCTGCAGAGGGAGGCTGTGGTAGTAAAAGGGCAGCACGGGCGATCTGGTGCTGGGACTTTTCTGTATCCTCACTGGTGCTGGTACATGGGATACAAGTGCATGGAGCTACACACACACATACATGCTCATATGTGTACAAATAAATACATGTAAAATAGGTGAAATCTGAATGAGGTTGATTGAGTATCAACAGCAGCGGTTTGTATGATATGATTATTCAAGAGATTATCTGTGATTGAGGGAAACTGAATGAAGGGTATACAGGATCACTCACAACTGTATGTGAGTTTGCAATTACCTGAATAGTTTATTCATTATGTATATGATATTTTATTATATGCATACACAAATTGTTTAAACTTTGGGAAAGAAAGCATAAAAACATTTTATTTAATAGTTTTTAATTGTTTAAAGTATTACTATGTCTCCTTTTTTCCTGATTAACCCCCCACCCACCCTCCAGCCACTCCCACCCCTCAGTACAAGCCACCACTGCCCCAGTGTCTGTGCCCATTGGTTATGCTAATATGCATGCATACAAGTCCTTTGGTTGCTCTCTAACTGCCCCCCACCCCCACTTGCCTTCTCTCTAAGGTTGGATGGTCTGTTCAGTGTTACCTTGTCTTGGATCTATTTTTGTTCATCAGTTTATGTTGCTCATTATATCCCACATATGAGTGAGATCATGTGACATTTATCTTTCTCCGAATGACTTATTTTTCTTAGCATAATGCCAATCTGACATGTGAGATGGTACCTCATTGTTGTTTTGATGAATCTTGGTGGGGGGACAAGGGTGAGAGTTTAACCAAAGAACTTATATGCACATATGCATTACCCATGGACACATATAATAGTTCAATGAAGGCCTGGGAGCAGGGTAGAGGAGGTCAGTGGGGTAAGGGGGAACATTTGTAATCCTTTCAACAATAAAGATAATTTTTAAAGGAAGAAGGAGAATTGATGGTACATTATATATAATCTTGGAAAATTTTAAATTTTGAAACATCTGTTCTTATTGAGACATCTCATAGAATAAGTGAAACCCTAATACAATTACCTCATTTGACTAAAATCCCAAACTCCTATGACAGAAAGTGAATTCTAGTATTAAGGCTTCTTTGGTTTGTAAAAAAAAAAACAAAAAAAAAACTCATAATTTTATCTAACATGCTGCTTCTCCTTTCCTTTCTGTGAAGTCCAGGCCATTTAACTTTAAAGAAAAAAAATCATAGACTTTATTTTCTGAGAGAGGTTGTGTTCACAGAAAAATCGAGCTGAAGGTACAGAGATTTTTCCATTTACCCCTGGCCCTCACACAAGGCAAGACCTCCCCCATTGTGGACATCCCACACTAGAGTTATATATTTGTTACGATTGATAATTTTGTATTGACACGTCATTATCTGCCAAAGTCTATATACCTTACATTAGGGTTCACTCTTGCTGTTGTATTTTCTGTAGGTTTGGACAAATATATCATGACATATATTACTATTATAATCACTAATATTGTTAGTTTCTTCATACTTTGCCCTTTTAGAATGTCATGAAGTTGGAGTCATACAGCCCTTTTAAATTGGTTTCTTTCCTTTACTAATGTACACTTAAGCTTGCTCCATGTCTTAATGCAGAACAGTGCATTGTCTAGATCAGTGACGGCAAACCTTTTGAGCTCGGCGTGTCAGCATTTTGAAAAACCCTAACTTAACTCTGGTGCCGTGTCACATATAGAAATTTTTTGATATTTGCAACCATAGTAAAACAAAGATTTATATTTTTGATATTTATTTTATATATTTAAATACCATTTAACAAAGAAAAATCAACCAAAAAATGAGTTCACGTGTCAGCTGTGTCATAGGTTTGCCATCACTGATCTAGATCTACCGCAGTGTACACATTCACCTATTGAAGGAAACCTTGTTTGCTTCCACATTTTGGCAATCATGAATAAAGCTGATCTAAATATCCATCTGCAGGTTTCTGTGTGAACATAAGTTTTCAACTCATTTGGGTAAATACTGAGCGCAGTTGATGGCTTGTACAACTATTTTTCTAACAAACCGCCCAACTGTCTTCCAACGTGTTTGTACTATTTTTTATTCTCAATAGCGATGGATGAAAGTTAGTCATTTTATTTCTATCTAAGGCCTTTTAAAGTTGCTTTTGCAAGATTTCCCTTCCTTTCTCTGCTCATCCAGCACTCTCTATCCTTATGCTGACATGTATCACATTCTTTCATGCTTTGCCAGTGTGAACCCCTAAGAGCAATGCATAGATATGTCTCCAGCACCTTACAATACTTCACATTGAAAATTAATGGTTCCAGTATTTGTTCAATGAATAAAGAAAGTTCAAATTGTCGTGTGTCAGACTGTCAAATAGAGCATTATGTTTTGCAAATCTATATATAATCACAAGGTCTTTTACATGGCTTGGAATCAAACAATTCACACTATTACCACTAGTAATATTTCTTTATGTGCTCCTTAGCGATTTTTTTTTGGATGGTTAAATACATGGTTGATTCATGTTAAAGGAAATTGCATTTGAAGTTATTGATTCTTTGGCCCAGCTTTTCAGCTGGAAGAAACAAAGCGCTTGCTGTAATAAGTTCTGAACCTTTTAAAAACAATATTTAATGAGGTTTGTATGTACCTTTGACATTTTATTTTCAACCAGAGTGAAGGTCAGAAATGAAAGGGCACAACTATGCTTTTATACAGTAAATAAACAATGCTATTATTTTTCAAAGAAAATGAAATATTGCTAACTTCTTCCTGGTTTTTTACTATCTAAAAATGAGTTTGCTATGCCTAATTTTGGTAATTAAATCATGTTGTCCTTGCATGTACTAGAATTTGGAATTTAAAAAGGGAGTACACCTAGTTTATACATCAGGGACTAATGTAAATTGTGCTTTTTGTTAATACTCGGGCATTGCATTATTTGAGTTTTTATATTTAACTCTTAAATGAACTTATTATTTGTTGGCTGGTATTTATTTGGTGGAACTTGGTATTATTCTGTTAATTTGATGAACTTTCTTCTTAGATTGGAAGTTTTCTTAATATATATTCAGTGTCCTCAACTCTCTCATATTTGGTATTTATAATACTGTAAATTTATCATTAAAGAGGATATTTTAAAGTGATTTTGGAAAGTAATTGCCTGGATTATGAACAGTGAAAAATATGCCCTTAGAAGCACAATACACAATGGGAATTTTAAGGACTTTCTTTTCATACTATATATCAATACCTAACAAGGGGTTGATCTATTAAATTTGTACTAGATCAAGACAATTTTAATGTTAAAAATAATTTTATATGCTGAAAGATATTATGAAGCAGACAAGCTTCAAATGCCAAAACCCATGTATAAATGATCACTTTATATTGTCATCTATTTAACATATTTTCGAAACAAGGTATTTCAACTTTTATGATTCATTCATTTTAAAAATTAGCATGCAATAAGCGCCTAATCTGAGATTTACTTCATTTCAGATGAACTTACAAATTCATCAGAAACCAGATTGTCCTTGGAAGACCTCTTCAGGAAGGACTTAGTGCTGCGTGATCCTGAAGCCCGATGGATCAATGGTACGTGTGTGCCTTTTATGTGTGATATTCATTGAGTTTTATATAATTACAGTCTAAGCCAGCGGTTCTCAACCTGTGGGTCGCAACCCCTTTGGGGGTCGAATGACCCTTTCACAGGGGTCGCCTAAGACCATCGGAAAACACATATATAATTACATATTGTTTTTGTGATTAATCACTATGCTGTAATTATGTTCAATTTGTAACAATGAAAATACATCCTGCATATCAGATATTTACATTAGAATTCATAACAGTAGCAAAATTACAGTTATGAAGTAGTAATGAAAATAATTTTATGGTTGGGGGTCACCACAACATGAGGAGCTGTATTAAAGGGTCGCGGCATTAGGAAGGTTGAGAACCACTGGTCTAAGCAAATAATGCTATTTGAAGTTAGTATTTGAATCGACATCATTCTTCGAAGATTGCATATACTATTTAATGAGTGTCTTGGCTCATGTGAGGAAACCAATTCCTAAGATAGGTCATCAATAGAAATATCCTCCACACGTTAGATCAATTGTTTCGTATCTGTGGTTCCCTCATGGTCATTATTAGCCATGTTACTTTAAATGTGTTATATCTCCAGCATTTCTCTAGGTTATTCTTCTTGGTGTAAAGGATGGATTTTGAGAGACTGCATATGTATATGCTTCAAATGTGGCTAACAAATTAGTTTCTTTTCCTTCTGGTGGCTTTTCTTTTTAATCCTAAGTGCTGCAAACTAGGGAGACTCTTTCCAAACTTGAAATGAGTGAGAAATCACATGGAAATATATTGCACTTTGTCTTTTTCTGTCCTGGCAAAGAAACCACCTCAGCTTTCCTTAGTCATTTCAGATTTTATTATTTTCAAGGAGTTTAAGAGAGCATTTAGATTGTAAAAGAAACAACCAAAAGTAAAATCACTGAGTGGTTCCATGGCTTCTCTTTATGGAAGGTGATAGGGAAAGTGAGTGGATTATCCAGTCAGAAGAAATGTGTTGGCGAATATTCCGATTTGCCTGACCATACTAATCTCTGTGGTCAGAACGCAGTTCATCTTTGCCTTTCAATTTATTTAGAAGCAATATCTTTGCTTGTTTTCAAGGCATAGAGTAGATTATTTTATGATAAATAAAATAAGCTTTGTCCTTTATCTAATAACAATTATCTCACTTATAGTCCTTTCTTCTCTAATATTCTAATTAATTGCTTGTATACCTGAAAAGTAAATGGTTACTTTTGGGAACTATAAAATGAAGGGAAGTTAATTCATGAGGACAGAGGCCAAATCATACTGTTTAGTTAGCATTAATACAGTTCCTGGAGGTCACCTGGCACTCAAGATGTGTCTTTAAATAAATGAATGCATTTCATTGAAGTTCTGTGTTATTTTTCAAGAAACTAAGTTTCAATTGAAATCAGTTGGAAGATGAGTGTGTATCATGGTGATGGTATTATGCAGTGATTTTCAACTGGTAGTGCTGCAAGAATTTTTAAAACATGCAGTACCTGACTATTCAGTCAGGGGCTCTGACCTTTTTTTCCTTAGATTATCAAATTAAAAAATGACAACAGCCAACACAACAATAGCCATCCTGGGTGAATAAATCAAAATATACCTATATTTTTGTGATATCAGCAAAAAATATATTTTTTGGTGTGCTGCAGAATTGTTTAAATAGTTTATGATGAAAAAGGTTGAAAATTGCTGCTATTATAAATAAAAATAATTTAATTAATTTATTTGTATATTTTTATTTGAATCGTTTACAAATTAAGGACTTGCCATATTGTTGCCTTTGCACTATGATTATTTCAGATGAGCACTGTAACTAAAGGAGACTAATAAAAATGAGGTATCATTACCAAACATTGTTCTAATACACAGATCTCTCACAAATCATTCTCCTAATATACTATGGTAATTCTGCAAGTCATCTTTTTATTTGCTAACACTTATTTTCTATTAGAGAAGAGGACAACATTATTGTGAAAAAATGTGTTATTAGGTTTGAATTGCTAAATGATATTCTGTTTTAGTCACCAAGATTTTGGAAAAGCGTTAGAAATCTGTGGTCTTTGACTTTGGAAAGCAAGCAAAAATCTTGGGCCTTATCTCCCTTCTCAGGTTAGCTTGGATTATTTAAAGAGACATTCACTCCTGTGTATAACTGACACTTTGATATTGAAATGCCAAAGGACTGGGTGGATATTTAAGCAGTGAACTGCATGCTAAATTAAGCCATTTCATTATCTAGGGCACACATTCTAACATTCTCCTTTAACTCTTCACGAGATACCAAAATCATATATTTGGAGTTAATCATTTTAAGCTTAAAAAATAATTTCATTCTTAACTATTGGTAAACCTAATCTTGAGAAACATCCTGGGACAAAGCTGCAGTGTTATCGTTATATTCTAGCTGAAACGTAGGCTATAATATTTATTTTGAAATTTGAGATAAAAACAACCCTTTTATCCAGCTCAGTAGTTTAGTGCCGGCCTATGAACCAGGAGATCACAGGTTCGATTCCTGGTCAGGGCACTTGCCTGGGCTATGGGCTCAATCCCCAGTAGGGGGTGTGCAGGAGGCAGCGGGTCAATGATTCTCGCCCTCTCCCTTTCTCTCTGAAAACAATAAAAATATTTTAGAAACAAACCTTTAAACAGGCTTAAGCTCTCAGAGGCTTTGTAAATAACACTGAAGAAATCGACTCGCTGGCAGCAGGCTGTGTGCACTGTGCTGCTTTCCCAGTGAGAGTGTAGATTTGTGCTTCTTCATTCCTCTTATTCAACCCAGATCACTTTCCTAGCAGTCACTAGATACTTGGCCTATTTACTGGTCCCTCACATGGCCAGGAAACACAGTGGGAACTATATGAATAGAATGTGTAACCTTGGCCTCATTATCACAGATTGTATCTAAATATAAAATTTGAATTTTTTCTTTACTCTCATGAGGTGTCTCACCAGGCTTTCTCAGTATGTACGTCTCTTGAAGAGGTCTAAGTGAAGCTCATTTGGAAGCTTCATTTAGTCTTGGAGGTCACCACAGGTAGATGGGTGTGCAGCAATGTCATTTCTTATACTGGTTCCCAAATAAAATAACTGAATGTCATTGCAGCCTTTGAGGGGTACTCATGTTCATGGTTAGCTTAACATCTGCCTTCCCCCATATCTGCTCATAAGCTTGAATCTACATTTTTATAGCATCTTTTTTTTCTAGTTGTGTCACCTTGAAACCTAGAAATCCATCTTCCTTAAAATTATTCATCTCCCCACATACATTTTTATTGAATTTATTGGGGTGACATTGGTTCACAAAACCATATAGGTTTCAAGTTTACAACTTAACAAAACATCATCTGCACACTGCATCATGCGCCTAACACCCAAAGCAAAATCATTTTTACCCCATTTATCTTCCCTTTGTCCACTTCCACCTACCCCCATCTACTGTAGATGTATGCATGTGTTTGCTGCATCATTTTACCTGCTTCCATCCAGCCCCCCAATCCCTTACTTCTGACAGCTGTCAGTCTGTTCCATGTATCTAGGCCTTTGTTTTTATTTTGTTTTTCAGTTTATTTTGTTTATTAGATTTTACATATAAGTGAGATCATATGGCATTTGTCTTTGTCTTTCTGATTTATTTAGCTTAGCATATATTTAAATTATTGTTTGAAATTTAAATGTAAATCATTTTCTTTCAGGAAATGTTTTCAAGATTCCAGCTTGCCTTAAAATGATAATATTTATAATAAACACCAAATAGAGTAGGGAAGAGTATTTACCCATAAAATTGAGTGTTAACATTTCAGAGAAAAAAGTTTTCAGAAAAATAATATTTTTATGTTTTAGACATATAATGATTACTTTAAAGTATTTAAAGGGAGTTGGAAATAGAAAACAAACTTTAGATTAGGATAAGTAAACTTTCATATTGCAGCCTATTTTGTGAAAAAAAAACTATATTTTGATTTTTAAAATTAGGAATTAAGTAAGAAAAGTATATATATATATATATATACTTTTAGACACAGACAACAGTGTGGTGATAGGCACAGGGACATGGGGTTGGGGGTAGGTGGAGGTGGGCAAAGGAAGGGAAAATGGGGATGTAAAGAGAATTTGCTCGATGCAGTGTGCAGATGATGTTCTTTTGAGTTGTACACTTGAAAATTGTATGGTTTTGTGAACCAATGCCACCCCAATTCATTCAATTAAAAATCAACTGACAAAAAAATAAAATAACAAAATAATAAATTCATTTTTAACTTATAATAAAGAAAAAAAGTCTGAGAGAGATGAAAGAGTTATGCTTCGAGTTCATCAAGAATTACTGAGTTCCAGCTACAATACAGGGTTTTGTATATTTTAAGTGGAAATCTATTACCATTTGAAAGATTTGTAGTAAAATAAATGGTGTTTTCATAGCTGTAATAAATTGTACAAAATTATGGTTGGTCTGTTTTTGTTGGCCCAGGACCTGGGTTTGTCAGCACAAATGTAGATTCAATAGACACTTAACATTGACATCTATTTTTCCACCTACATGTCCACCTATCTTTTATTCAACATGTGTTTATTGAACATAGTGAAAATATTCTAGATAAGATGAATAGATGCAGTCCTTTCATTAAAGAGAATTATGAATATAAAGATTCTTCCCGCATTGTGCACAGTATTTTTATGCATATCTATGGGTTAGAGGAGTGAATTAGTACTCAAAGGCTGTGATGGCACAGGAAGTAGAATTTAAGTAGAGAGGTGCAAAACATATTGAATCAAGACTACAATGAGATTTGATTAACTTTCTTTTCCCCAAAATCAAAAACACATTTCCATCTCCCTTATCTCTCTCTTCAGAAAGATAGAGGACACACACTTGCAAATTTTGTTTATTGAACTTCTTTTTATTATGTTTGCTTCTTCTTTATTTGATACAGTCTTTACTTATATACATTCATAGTCATGACTAATATAGGCATGGACCGCTGACATGCTTAAAG